TACAATTTGACTTTACTTTTTGACCATAGTGTATAAAATATATAACAAAATTATCTTTTTAGGGATTATTAGGTATGCCAAATTCAGCAACGCTATCAGTTTTTAAATATAAATATTGCCTAATAACATTTGACTTTACTTTTTGACCATAGTGTATAAAATATATAACAAAATTATCTTTTTAGGGATTATTAGGTATGCCAAATTCAGCAACGCTATCAGTTTTTAAATATAAATATTGCCTAATAACATTTGAAGTTTTTAAACAACAGTATTTTAAAATCGGATTATTTTTAAATCAATCAAATCAAATTGTCGCCAATCAAAATAAAACATAGTGTATATATATTTTTATTAGATATCCTATGATTTTTATTATTTTCACAAAAACTATACATACAATTTTTAATCGCCATATTAAAAAAATAATAGAAATGCAACTAAAAAACTACAAAGCGTTTATCTCCATAGTCCCATCTATTTTTGCAGGATATCGGTGTGAAAATGAACACGACTGAAAATTGAGTATAAAATTTTCGATCTCATCGCTAGACAACTAATTTCCTGCAGTAACGCCGCCAGTGAACAATCGCCGCCCATTAATCTCTCTGTGACGTCAATGCACTGTTTTGTCGAGGCTCGATTTAAACACATCGTACTTTCAAAATAACCGGTGACAAGTGACAAGCTATAGATTGCTTTTTTTTAGATTCCGTTTAATGATTACACAGCTTTTTCGATGCTTCTTTATTTCAGTCGGTCATGCTTTTTCACTTAACTATGTTTGCCATCATTTTTTAAATGAAAAATTAAAAGTTAAGACGGCTTTTTCACGCTGTTTTGATACGCATTTTGTATGCCACACACTAAGTATTGTGTAATATCTCGGAAAAAGTAGTTTATTAAAATTATCCACAATCGTTAAGAGATTTTTTTTTCAATTTTCATATTTAAGTACTGGGTAACCAAAAGTTGTTTTTTGGTGTTTTATTTATGGTAATTTTTTTTGTCTTTTTACACAGTAGAAAAATATTTGTTGAATAAATTTGTTTTAGGTTTTGTAAATTTAATAAAAAAATCCTATATCAATAATTCAACCATAATTCAGTAACAAAAGTGTTTGTTGGAAATTGGAAACTTAAATGACAATCATTTTGATAAAAAATGTTGCTTTATTAAGTAATTTCCTAAACAAAAATTAACACATAAATTAATACAAAAATAACATTCAAACAATTAAATGACACACCATTCTGAAATCATCAAATTATAAAGAAATTTGGTACAATATAATTGTCAGTACCACTACAACACTTACAGATGTATTTCGTAACTTTAACCCACTTCACTGTATCTCCTAATTTTAGTTTGAAAACCAGTGATGGCATCTTTTTTCGGATACTTCGCACTTCGCACACTCGTTAAATAGGTTTCTAGTTACGAACACGTTACGAATTAAAATTTAATTAAAAAGAGGCAGAAACATAAGTTGCAGACGCTGAAGTCAGTTGAACTTGGTGATACGTATTGTCGAAATCATGGGTAATTTTTCAACGAAATAATTTGTTAAACATTAGCAAAATAATCTGTAACCTTTAAATTAACAAAATGCTTACAAAATTACCTTTATAAAACTTTGGTAAAATATTTTCCTTTGTTAAAATAATTACAAACCCTGGTTTTCTACAAAAAATTAGTATAAAATTTTACAAAATAAAATTTAGAAACTCATGTTTACAAATCTGATTTTTATAACAGTGTAGAATAATAACTTTAAAGTAAGAGAATTTTTAAATCATGTGTAAGGTACAGAGAGAAAAGTTTATTTAATCTGTGGTCTATATTTATGTTCATTTGTGTTTATTATGCTTTACTCATTTAATGGTCGTGTATACGTATTACAATTTTTAGATGTGCTCCAAATAACTGGCCTCTGAGAAAGCAAATTTCAAAACTGTATGAACGATATTTAGCTCTCAACAAGCACCGTACTCGTCAAAGCAAAAATAATACTATTCGTGAGAATATGGTCAGAAGTGTTCTTGAAGATTTGTTTCAAAAGGGAAGATTTTTTAAGTAGCTTCAGTAGTGCTTACCTTAAAACTACAGCAAGGAAAAATAGAAAGAGACAGAAAAAAATCCAATAAAAGTCCAAAAATAAATATGCAGAAAAGGAGAGTAAAGATACGTCTTAGACAATTTTACAAGCATCTACGCCTTCTTTTAAAAACTCTGGAATGGAAGTGTAAGCTTGGTTTATATATGATATTGGAATTAAAGCTTTCTATAACGAAAAAAGACGTACACTGCTTTTGATTTCATTGGTTTTTACAGAGCACTTGCATTGATTAAACTAAGGAAAATGATCGTATAGAATGTTACTGAAAGAAACAGCTTCTTTTTTGATTTCCTGGTTATAGAAGAAAAATGCAAAAGTGAAGAATTCCTAAAAGTACCACCTCAGAATTGGCCAGGTGCTTGGGCTTTCGCAAAATTTTGTAAAAAGTGTTTTGAGATAAAAGTTGTTAATGAATCTGCCGAACGATGAATCAGTCTTTCCTCTGACTTATAATTGTAATATTAAAACCTAAATTACCAATTTTTTCACTGTATACCTCGATAAAGTTGTCACAAAAATGGTCATATTTCACATGAAATTTCAAACTAAAAAGTTGACCATCTGTTGGCAGATCGCACAACGCGTGTCCTTAATAACCTTTTGTCAATTTTGTCCGATACAAGCGATTCATTTATTTTTTTCGTACCTGGAAATTGAAATCTGTCGGATGGACAATGGTCCATTTTGCGCATTAATTTACTGACAAAGGGCGGGAGCTTCCTAAATTTTATTTGGAACAATGGATGCATTGAAAAGTTAATGCTGGCCTGCATTGAAAAGAATTTTTAGAGAAACAGAAGATGCATTCACAATATGTAGGTGTTATTTTTCGATTTTTAATTGTCATTCAGTGACTTGCTGTTGTTTTTGAAATGATATAACTGACCAAGTGACCAATGGAAAAATATTAATTAAATATATCGGTCTTTTATCAATTAAAAAGTTATCCTCGGCGGGATTTTTATTTAAATGGAAAAACAGTATATCCATTTTTTAAATACCCAAGTATCTTGAAGCATTATGCGGCGTCCTTTAATTTTTTGTTCAGGAATTATTTTTATGTGCACTAAAGTGATATTTTCAATTACTTAAAAAATATCATATAAGAATTTTTATCCTGCAAATTAAAACTAGTAGATATTTAAAAATTTAATTAAATTTTTATGCCAAACTGATAGTTTTACTTTAGTGAATTTAAAATATCTGTTTTTATTTTTGTATTTTTTAATTAAAAATATCATAGGAGACATTTTTAAATTAATTAATTAATTAATTTTATTTTTTTTAAATAAGCAGATATTTTAAATTGAATGTGATATTTTTAATTCAAATTAAAAGTTTGGACACCCCTGTTATTCCAAATGTTTGTGGCATTTCGAATAACAGGGGTATCCAAACTCTCATTTGGTCGGAATTGAAAATATCACATTCAATTAGAAATATCTGCTTATTTATTAAAATTTTTAATTTAGCGAATTAAAAATATGTGTTTAGCAAAAAAATATAAATAAGCAAATATTTTAAATTAACTAAATAAAAAAAATGTGTTTAACAAAAAATACAACTATAAGAAGCAAATATTTTAAATTATCTAAATAAAAAATATCAGTTTGGCATTAAAATTTAATCTAATTTTTAATTAGGAGAATTAAAAATTTGTGTTTAACAAAATAATACAAATATAAGAAACAAATATTTTAAATTCACCAAATTAAAAATATCCGTTTGGCGTTAAAATTAAATGATATGATATTAATTCGCAGAATAAAAATTTTTAAGTGATATTTTATATCTAATTAAAATATCACTCTAGTGTTAACACATAAAAATAATTCCTGAATAAAAAATAAAACGGCGCCCCATAAAGCATACAATAGATGTATATAATAAAAGCTATTTAATAAATGTTCACGTTTACATTGAACATACTTATTTGGTCTGTAAGAAACCCTTTTTAAAATTTGAGTGAAGGTGGCTAAAAAATAATTGAAATATAACACGGCAAATTGTTTTTGTTCTTTGTTAAAACTTATATAACCATTAATTTGGACGTCATTGTTTAAGGAACAAGAGGTCGCACTTAAAAACCATTGAATAACATTTTATCCCTTATCCCGAGAAAGACTTAATACAGTTGACACAATGGTCGAAAGTCGAAAGCCGCACAGTTTTGATTCAATTAATATTTCAATTACTCTTGTCCAATGGGGAGCAAATTCATTCGACAAAGCTCAAAAGCAAACGAAATAAAAGGGTTGTAGTTTTTAAAATGGAACTTTGTGTTTTGTGACTGAATCAAGATTTAAAACTTTTGTTGAAATGAAATTTCTCTCAGTGCTTTGTCAAGTAAAACAATTACCCTTTTTACGTTTGTTTTTCTTAATTAAATTGTTTACGTCGGCTTTGTGCGAAAATTTATTATTCAAGGAAAATAAAAACGATTTTCATAGAGTCAAGAGTTTCAAGTAAATAGTCAAATGCGTTACGCCCAGGTTTGCTTCCAAGAACACACGAGTATAATTGCTTTATACTTTTACGGCCACAATACGAAAAGGTATTCAATATTATGGCCCTACCTGTCTTACGTTTCGAATTCAACAACAAAACTCATCATCATTCGCGTACCAGAAGAACGCTTTGATGTTCCTCCACTTTATGGCCACCACCAAGACATCTTGAGATCTCTTTGTTTGTTTATTAGTTTATTGGTTTAAACCTTTAAAAATGCGGCAATAAATAAGAAAGGTACACTGAGATTTGTCTGCTCAAATATCAACGATCCTATTGTCGAAATACCATTATTTGTGCTACTCATAAAAAATATATCTGCTCAAATATAAAAAAATTTATTAGTATTAGTACATATATATCACTTTTGGTATCAAGGCAAATGTCCTTGCGACATACTGAGAGCCATATTCCAAACCATAGCTGAAGGACATGTGGGAAACTTAGCCTGCAAAGTCTGATAGCAACTGAACACCCAACTCAAACTGCTATAGTAAGCCTGGTTGTGAACATTACCATTCAGATAAGAAGGGTTCGTCTCCATATTATGAGGCTGCACATATCCAGGATATACCGGTAACTTATTTTGATGGTCCATTTTGATCTTCGTGGCTGATTGTTCTTCTAACACCAACAATGTATTGCCATTCGGATAAGGAACGTTCGTCTCCATATTCTGTATGTGAGGCTGCACATATCCAGGATGTATCGGTAGCTTATTTTGATGGTCCATTTTGATCTTCGTGGCTGATTGTTCTTCTAACACCAACAATGTATTGCCATTCGGATAAGGAACGTTTGTCTCCATATTCTGTATGTGAGGCTGCACATATCCAGGGTGTATCGGTAGCTTATTTTGATGGTCCTCCTTTATCTTCTCGGCTGATCCTTCTTTTAACAATGTAGGATTACTCACCTTGTTCTTCCTCTTCGGGCAAAACTTGTAATCAGGATATGTCTCCATATGAAGCTGCTTGAGTCTCTCAGCTTCATCGATGTAAATCTTCTTTTCGGACGGTGGAAGCGATTTCCACTTTGCCGATAACATTTTGCTTACTTCCTGGACGTGTTTCTTCGGAAATTTGTTCAAGAGTTTTTTTCTGTACATTTTCGACCAAATCATGAAAGCGTTCATTGGTCTTTTAATGTTTCCTCTTCGTCCCAACGACTTGGTGGTTAGGTCGTTTTGTTTTTTTAGATTTTCTTCTAATTTGCAGAACATGTTTGGTGTTGGTGGTTGATATTCAATGCTGGAGTCCATGTTTTCCTCTTGTCTTTGTAAATGATAAGTGTGGAATAATTTTTAATAATAATTGTTGGTTTATATATACCATTAGGTATACCAAAATGTAGGTACAATTATTAATTAATAGGTATAATGATAACAAAATTAGGGATTAACTCCGGTGCCTTTTTTACCTGATTTAAAAAACTTAAATGTTATGTTAATTTTGTGAATATTTTCATGGGTATATCTAAACATGGTTTATTTATAAATAAAATCAACGTCTTATTATAATTTTCACAAAATAACTACAATAGATTTGTTTGGACAAAATATGACTTCTTCGTTGCCTCGTTGTTTTCTTCAACCAATTCTTGAAAGTTGTATACATTTTTTCATAGATCTCAAATATTTTATAATTATTTTATTAGTATTAGTATTAGTATATTGTTTTATATTGTTTGTTGGGAATCATAGCAATTACTCCCGGTGATGAAAGTTTCTGAGCGAGCCGATAGGCGAGTGAACGAATTTATTTAGGGAGGATTAAGGAATCGTTTATATCGTTTATTTGTATACAAATACACAATTTGGGTACCCGCAACAATTAAAATCTGAGGTTTAATTTAATTCTGACGTTTACATTCAAAGTCAATCATACTGTTGACAGGGGGAGAATAAAAATATATACAGGGGAAGAAATAATATATATTATTAGCCACTCGACAAAAAAAATAATTTCCAACAGCTTGTCAGGCACGTTTGTCAATAACATAAAATTAGGAAGTATACTTGAGAAAGGACAACTTTGGTGATATATGACACCAAAACATCAAAAAGTACTTTAAACACTGTGTTTTGTTTTGGTGTTGAGGAATATTTCCAATATTTGGTTATAATCCTATATTCCTATAGGAAGTATAATTAACATTAACAATGTATTTAAAACATTGTTAAAAGCTTCTTAACAAAAATATTTTTATCTACTCCTAGAATGACAAGCTGTGACTTTATGGCGTTTTAGTCACGGGCTGAAGTTAGCAATAGTGGCTTTTGGGCATTTTAGTCACGGGCTGAAGTTAGCTTTATTATAAATGAGAGAAAAGTGAGGTTAATTCCGTTGACATTTGACAGATGTCAAATGTTTAACAAATAAAATTGGATTTAAATTCTTCTCTGTGGTCGTCGTAGATAAAGTATAATATGCAACTCGATTTATAAACTTATCTAGACACTCGTTCTTATTAAAAACTCGTTACTAAAATGGCGTTTATAAAACTTGATACATAATATACTATTTATGTAATATGTTAAAGAAAACAGTACCAAAATTCTTGTAATGACAACTTACCCATTTTACCAATTTTATATAATCTTATATTGTTAAAAAAAGGTTCTCAAATAAAATCTGTTTGTTCATCGTAATCATTTCATTTATTTATATACATTTTAGAAATACATCAAATCAATCAATAATAAATAACAAATCAATTAACATCTCAATATATACATTGAAATACATATGCACTCTATTGAGGTGACTCTTTCCCTACTCGAAAAAAACTAATATTTACAAAAATCAGTCGCAATCTTATACAATCACAGAACACAGAATTGTAACTAAAAACAATATACAACTCTCTATATAGTATATACAACAATTTTACTTTTTACTTGCAACTAAATCACTTTTGTTTCACAGTTCGATAATTCACTAAAAGCCTAATACATGACTGGAACTGGCCGGCGTATTTCCAGATCCGAACTCGCCGGACTTGATGCCGGACTACTCGATGCGGAGTACATCATGGGCGTTGTGGGCATGGAGGAGAACATCTGCATGTGCGATGGTGCGAAAGCCTTCGGCGGTGCTTGATGGTATAGGGATGAATACAGAGATGAGTGCAACGAAGAGTGTAGAGATGTTACGACGGCGGGTTGGTAGTGTTGATGTTGCTGTTGTTTTTCTGGCTGCGGTATGCTCATACGCGACATATCGAACGCTGGGTTAAAGTACGCCGAATAAGGTGATGAAGATAGATGATCCATGGGTGGGAAATACGGTAGCTGCAGACTCGGAAATCCAACACTTTGTTTTAATCCTGATGGTAGAGGACCTTTCGGTTTCCTCCTCGGGCGGTATTTGTAGTCTGGGTGCTCCTTCATGTGCAGAGCGCGTAAACGCTTAGCTTCATCGATGAAGGGGCGTTTGTCAGCTTCGGTAAGAAGCTTCCACTCCGCACCGAGACGTTTGGAGATTTCGGAGTTGTGCATTTTGGGGTTATCCAATGCAATTTTGCGGCGCTGAATCCTCGACCACACCATGAACGCGTTCATGGGCCTCTTGATGTGTCCCTCGCTGTTGGGACTCGAAGCGGGCTGCGCGTTGGGTTGCTGGTAATCTTCCATCATGTTTGAAAAACCGTACAAGTTAGACATTTCACTTTTTTTGATACTGGTAATGGTAGTAAACTGAACACGTTGTCTCTGGCTGAAGCAAACGACTGAACTGATTTCACTCTGTGTTCGCAAAGAGTATTGGTGTTTTATGGGGCGGAGTTGCGTGCTAAGAGAATTCGGTGGCGAGGGGAGGCCACGCCCCTATTTTTACCATTGGCTGTCCCCACTCGATTTACTAGTGAAACCGCACACTGCATTGTCGGTACTTTTATTTTGCTTTTTGTCGTGCACATAATATTCTTACAAAATACCTGTTCGTGTTTTCTTCGATTGTTACGCTCTCAGTAGTTGCAAATGTTTCTTTATTGTGCGCATTAAGAAATTTAGTTCAATAAAAGTTTTACGCTGTTTATCACGCGAATAATTGCACTGAATGGATGCTGAGATTTAATGAAATCAGATTTTGTATACTGTATTAAATTATTTACAGTAGCAAATTTATTTTGTTGTTCATATTAAGTACCTTCAAATAAAAGATTATTTAATTTGTGATAATCCGTGAAAGATTATCAATATATTAATAAGAGGCAATCTTAAAAAAATAATAATTTACCTATAGTATTATAGTACCTATTATAATACTTAGGTACATATATTTTTATTTACATAAAGTACGCTTTTATAATTTTATTATTGTGATTTTTTTTTAAACTATAGGGAAAATATTATTCTTTTCATTTAAAATGTTTGCATAATATTGTTTTTTTTCGTGAATAATAATAAACATTATAAATTTCCTTCCAAACAACGGGAATAATAAACTCATTATTCACGTTGTTAAACATCAATGATTGGCCGATTTCAATATTCACTGTGATTTGAAACAATCGGGTTTTCAACTGGCAGAAGGCGACTATATTAACATTTAAAATTTGTAAAAAGGGAAGTTAACAATTTGACAGATGTCAGATTTTATTTAGGTAATTATTTTTGAACATCATTTAATTATCTACTAATACTATACTATATGTATCGATATTATTAATTTGACATTATCGTTAAATAATAAACTATTATTTAACGTAGGTAAACTTTACGAAAGAAAATTACTTTTAAGGTATTTTTAACGGTAAATGTAACGTAAATATTTTTACTCATTAGTTGATGACGTTTTCTATACATGTATTTTTTAGAGAAAATAAATAAAGTCATATTTTTATTGTATTAAAACCACTTTAAACCGTAAATAATTCTTATTGATCTGGGATCTATTTAAGGTGGTATAAAAAACTATTAATAATAACTTAAAAGAAAAAATAATTTTTAAGTAAAAAATACTAAACAAAAAGCACAATATTCAAGAAAAATGTATGTACCCAATAATTTTTTTAAATATTACGGAGGTATTTAAATTATATTATTTGTTTAAGGCTTTAAGTTTTTAGATTTATTTATTTTAAACAATAGATTATTTAGAGGGCATATTATATTATATTTTGTATGATATTGAATTGCTACTTTACTATATTACAAATAGGTAATTAACTATATTTAAATGTAAAAAAACAAAATGTTTTTGTTTTTTATTGCATTTTCAGATACCTAGTCAAAAAGCACCGTTTTATGGAAATAAATGAATGCCTTTTTATTACGAATAGGTAAATATATTTTTTTCTTTTTACCTGTGTTGTAATATTATAACCGTGTGCGGTAATAATTCCAAACATTTATTATTATTATAAAAGTATTGTTTATACATATATTTTTTTTTAAATCATTAAATTATAATAATATATTATACTAATGTATACATATGAAGGTATATTATAATAAGGATTTTTTATATTTTATTTTACTAATTTTTCTTCAAACTTGTGCTCAAGGAGGGGTTGGGGGTTTAAACCAGCAAAGCACAAAATAAACAAATTATTCAAAAAAAATCGCTAACTGTTAAAACAAAACCAATATTTTTTGTTTTTGTTTTAACCACTAAAATAAACATTACCTAATTGCAAAAGTACCTACTGCGAACTTCAGAGACATCTATTATAATTATTATTGTAATTATTAGTAAATTATTTTAATAATAAAATTCAAAATTAATTTTTTTACAGAAAATAAACAATTTTTTCTCCTGGGATATTCTTTTTCGAGTTCAAAGCACCCAAAAACGAAAAATGCCAAAAAAATTGGAGGCCAACCGAAGAATTTTGTTGCTAATATCAAATTTAGAAAATTTAACGAACATTTTGATATATTTAGACTCGATTTTTTTATCTAAGTTAATTTTTACATTTACAACAAAAATTGCAGAATTGTCAAAAATGGTATTTCTGCTTGTTAACCACTTTTAAGAGAAGCTGAATAATGAAGATGTATAAATTATTTAATAACAAGAGTTGGAGCAACTTAAAACGTCGCGACGTTATGATACGTAAAAAGTCAACAAAATTAAAAAATATAATTTTTGACAATTTTGCAATTTTTATTATAAATATAAAGCAATTTTTTTTTAATTTTATTTTTTATTAGCAAAAAAATTCTTTGCATTTTTTAAAGTTTTTGGGTGCCCTAAACACGACCAAAAATATTCCAACTCTGTTGCATTTATTTTAACAATTTAATAAAACCCCCCTATGAGAAAATCCTGCGCACTGCGTTGGAAGTAATGGTTTGTTGCTGTTAGGTTCATTTCTCTTGAAACATGTTTTCAAGAAAGGTATACCTAATATTTTTGAAATTCTTCCTCTGAATGGCAACACTTAATGTACCAGGCCTATGGGACCGGTTGTAAAAAATCTTTAAATTCCATTATTATTTCATTTTTTGGTGAGAAGGTATCCACTTCGTTTTAAATTTATACGTATGCTAAGTTGATTTTAATTTTATTCTTAATAAGTTTGAAATTATTTTCATCTAAATTTGGAAACTTTTCTTTTACATTTGCAAAAAAATAAACTTACGTGTTTGTTACTATCTAAATTAAATCATTTCGCACATCTCAAAATTAAATTGTCCAAATGAAATTTGTTTTTTTATATAAAACAAAAACAAAATGGTAATTCTATATATATAAACATTTTACAAAATTCAATAGAGACTCCTTTTCCAATATAGTAAATATAGTGAAAAAGTCCAAGCAACCGGCCGAAATTTCAGGTAAAATGCACTTTAAAATGCATGCAATTTTATTCTTAATAAGTTTGAAATTATTTTCATCTAAATTTGGAAACTTTTCTTTTACATTTGCAAAAAAATAAACTTACGTGTTTGTTACTATCTAAATTAAATCATTTCGCACATCTCAAAATTAAATTGTCCAAATGAAATTTGTTTTTTTATATAAAACAAAAACAAAATGGTAATTCTATATATATAAACATTTTACAAAATTCAATAGAGACTCCTTTTCCAATATAGTAAATATAGTGAAAAAGTCCAAGCAACCGGCCGAAATTTCAGGTAAAATGCACTTTAAAATGCAGTTTTATTGTCACTTCATTGGATTATTTTATAGTTTTCTTTACAAATGCAATTTTCTGAGAAGGATTTTACAATTTTGTTTTATTATGTTTGCCAGATTAAAAAAGTTTCATTGGATGTTGTTAAGGTTAATTTTGAAAAAACCTCAAATTATTCAAATTCGAGTTCAGAATTGCTCCATCAAATCAGATTTTCGAGATTTCATTCATTTTTGTAGCCAGTTCAAAAGTCAAATTATTATACACCGCCGTACAATAATGAAAATGCATTGAAATTACATAGAAGGAATGGTTTCATCTATCGAATTTAGCTCAAAATCAGTACAAATAACTAATAAATTTATACCTACACATAACATATATTACATATGTCAAACGTCAAACCTATAGGTCATATATGAAAAATCTATGAATTTTAATGTAAGTAAGAACAGAATTATTAAACGCTTCAAAAAAATAGTACCTATATACAACACGGCGGAGAAAGCATATTAACTGCCTCGCTAAGATCTGCTGCCTCGATTAATGTACTATTTTTATATTTCGGGTTAAACTAGGTATATCACAAAATTCGCTACGCAATATAAAAGTCGAACTCTTGTGCAGAAAAATTATAATTATTGTACCTACTCAACACTTTTGGTTGAAACCTTGGAAACGGTTTCATGTCATTTTTAAGACACTATTGTCCTGTTAGGTCCTATATTAAATTTAGCCATATATGTATGTATTATATACCCCGGCGTTTTAAAAAGGTAAAGGATTTTTATAGGGCACGTATAAACACATTTAATACTTTTTGATCGTAAAATCTATATTTTCACGGTACTTAGGTACATTAAAATCCATTTATTTCTCCTTTCATAGAACTATGGTTGTATTGTTTGGTTTATTTGCAGTGTTTTGCCCCGTAACGGGATTAAGGTTGTAAAAATATTAACTCCCATTATGCTGGGTTTTATTTCCATAATAAATATTAAGTAGCCCGCACCCTTCCAAGAATTATTCAACTTGTTGAAGTCAAATTCGTGCCGTACAGGCTAATAAATGGATGAAATTTGTCCATCGTTTTAGTGTTTCTTTATAAACATAGGTAGGTTCTGATTGTTACCGAGAACGCTATAAAACCATAAAAGCAAAGCAAATTACACTGGTTTAGAAATTAATAAAAAAAATTTACATTCGGTGCAACTATTTTTGTAATGATTTGAAAATCACAATAATGTTTTCGAGATATGTTTTTTGAAGATATCTTAAAAATTTGGGTCATATCTCCAGTTAAAAACAACAAATACAGTTGCAAAAGGTGTAGAGGGTGGTCCACGTAAGGTGACCCATATACTTATCTCAGAAACTACTGGAGTCACAAAAAATTTGTAAGGAACAAATATTCACGAAGTAAAAAATATTTTAAAAATATTATATTTTCATTTATACAGGGTGTTCGGTTTTCCTTGGGACGATACCAACTTTCTTATTTTCAATGGAACACCCTGTATTTTTTTGCATTTTTGGATTCTTCCCACTCTTTTAGGTATACTTTGTAAATATATTAAATAAGAAATTGTTAATACTTTTTGAGTAAAATTAAGATTTATTAAAATTTCT